GTTATTTTTCTCATAAATTATATATTTATCTCATGAATCTCTTGCCCCAGGTGATGAAACAAGCTGAAGGGCAGAGGCAGTGTGGTGCTGCAGTTTACTCCCACTATGCGTTCAGGCAAGCGGAGGGTTGTGTGCATCATACAAACATGCTCTGACACAGGCCCTCTGGTCCCACTTACAGGGATCTTTTCAGCACCCGTTGGTGTGGAAAGAGGAGAATAATATGTGCGTTTTGAAAAGACCTGGTGTTTCGGAAGCACATGTGGCATGTTCCTTGTGTATGCAGGGGAGAATTCTGGAACACATTGATAAAAAATAAAGCATGCTATATTTATTAAGTCAGAACGTTCCTACCTAGTCCTATAGTAGGCTCCTACATTAAAACACCTATTTTCTTTTCTTAACAACATTGTTCTCATGATGTGTTCAAATGTTTCCATTGCTAAGTAGAAATATAGGAATACAAGCTTGTGTGCAAAGGTGTCACTATATTTTTGAGGATTAAATGGCAAAAATATCCTCACAAAGACAGTAACTCCTGGGAAACGGGCAAATTACTTTTTTTATAAATCAAATATCGTTTTCTTAAAAGAGAACGTTCATAAAAGAGACAAAATTAGTTTTGCAGGTGTTTTCACTCCATGTGTCCAGAGTATAAAAGAATCTATAAAAATGAATTTCCTTACAAGAAATAAAAATGTGTACTGTGAGTCTCTGGAAGCTGAAAGTTTGGAAAAATAGCCCTGCTATCCTATTATATGTTAAATACAGGAAATGGAAATAATAGTTTTAAATGTTTACAGAGGATGTTGCACGTATTTATAGGGAGACCCTTTTCATTTTCAACTTTGTGTGCTTTCAACTCTTCTGTTGTCATGTTCTCCTTAAAGTTTAATTGAAATCATGCAATGTGTGTAGAAAACTCTCAAAGGTATTTTTATTTTATGTATCAATGTTGCGGGGGGGATAATGTTTGCAGTTTTCCTGACTGGTTTTGTTTTTCTTCATTTCTAGGGTTTTCCCAGAGTCCCTGAGGTGGTTACTAGCCACTCAACAGTATGAAAGAGCCCAAACCTTGATTTACAGGATCGCTAAAAAAAACAAAGTTAACACAGAGTCCGATGCAAATGGAGTCTTGTCAGGTAAGAAACAGAGGATACAGCCAATAAACTCAGTGTTTGTTAAAATAATTAGAAATAGAAGTTTCCAACTTCCAAATTTTTGCTTGCATTTTCATTAATTTTTAATATTAGTTCAGGTAAGCTTACTGTGAGCTGCAGCGTTTTTGCATTCCTGTCAATATGAGACAATATGAGAAATTGTCCCCTCAGGGTGACTTTAGTTATTCTGTAATAACTAAGTAACAGATAATGTGAGGTTATCCACACAATTGAAACTGTTTATTTAAAACAATTAAGAGCATACTCTGTTAAGTCCGTGAATGTCAAAACTAGTTATTTTGGATCTATCTCATGCGGATTTTAATTCAGAATAGTAAACAAAAAGTGAGTGTTAAGGGGATGTTCCCTCAAGCACAGGAACACAAACATGTCATGTTATAGAAATTCAAATTTCAGTATAGTTAATTTTGACCATAGAGCAATATCCCTTCAAATATGGCAGCACTCTGTGGATAGTCTACAGTGTGATAAATTGTAGGCAAGATTAAACAAGATTAAATTTGTGGGAAGATTCTCCGATGTCCATTCCTAGTGGGTCATGAACAGGTCAGAAGTCGCTTTCCATCTGGAAATGGGAAATTCGCAGGAGGAGGAGCAGAAGAAAGGTGTAGTGGTACATAACTTTTAGCAGATCAGTGTTTCCACTGCCCGGGCCATTTTACTTTGAAAAGAGAAACAGTTTGAAACCGCTGGGTTAATGTATGAAACCACATCACTGCCTGTGCCGCAACCAAGTTAATTAAGGCTGTTTGAAAGAGATTGAAAGTCATTACCGCCAGTTGTGGTGGCAGATTGAAAGGACACAACCTCAGGCTTCAGGGCCGAACAACGCAAATCGCGGTAGTTAATTGTAATATCGTTGCTGTAGCAGAATGGGGAGACGCAAAGGGAAATGTAACTCATTTCAAAGCTGTTTGTTTTTTTTATGCACGGGGTGTTTAGTGTGGGGTGGAGGGGGAGAGGAGGTGGCAGCCCACGTCAATGAGTCCATTTCTCTTTTGTCCTTAATGAAGTTGGTTACAGGCCGTGCTAAAAATATTTTTATTTTTCTGCGTTGAGCTCTGATGGCCCTCAGGGAAGGATGCTTTTCACAGCTCGCTCAAATGGTCTCGTGCTTCAATAAAAATAACTAATAATTAATGCTGTAGGCAAAGAGAAACAAACCACTTTCAGAACAACTTACACATCTGTGTCACTTGATCTCTGTTATGGTTTGATCTGAAACTTGAACTTGATTGTCGGCAGTAGAGTGTTGTCTGTAATTGTACAAGCCACCATAGCGGCTGGATTTAAATCCACTTGCTTTTTTATAAAGTATCCATCCTCACAAGTAGAGTTCGTGTGGCAGTATGCGATAGTGCATTATTATTATTTGCGGTGATTCTCCTGCTACTTAACACAGTGCAGTTTAATTTTTGTCTTTGATAATGTGTGGAGTTATCCATTTGTCTGAAAATTATGAAATGCTTTACTCACCACACGTAGCTGTTGATTTTTTTTTTTTGAGAGAAATGTAAATAAACTCATTGAGTTCACAGCCAAACGTGAATTTCATTTCAGGAAAACATTTCTAGTTGCTTCAGAAATGTTTGTTCTGTGGGCTAAAATGCAGGAACAGGCGCCGAGAGCAGGTCAGGAGAAACACAAATATAAAAAAATCAGGGAACATTACTGTAAAAAGTCAGTTTGTTGGAAAGGCTCTGAAATGTTTAAACTGCCAGTGCAGACAGCTGTAGGCAGTACCTAATGCATTTGTTACTGGACACGCATTTATTTTAGGGCAATTCATCAATTGAAGACCTGCAGTTGCTGAATAAAAGGCAGTATCCTCTAAGCTAGGAAGTCTGATGCTGTGTGTATAGGTGATGATTTAGATTATTTGCAGAAATGTGGTTTCCATAGAAACCTCTTCAATTCCAAACCCTGCACATCGGCAGCGATTTGTGACTGCTGGCAGATTCCTTGAATGGCTGATTATTCATTTTTATCATTGTTTAAACACATACAGATCAAACACTCTCTAATCCTGGGGCAGACATGTGCAAGGAAACCAATCATTAGAAGTCATTAGGTACTGCTGCTGACTTCTGGGTGCAGGCTGAGTGTGAATTGACTGGTTGGAACATGTCAAGCTGCACTCTGTTGTTAAAAACATGAAATGCAACTTGCTTTCGAAGAGACTGTAATAAAAAGCATGTTTATGTAATTGGGAAACAGGAGCACAATCCAGCTCTCTGATGAGGCAAGAAAACCAGTTTGTGATAAATATGGAAAATAGTCGTAATGAACTATGTTTACACGAGGTTGGAAATCAGGGTCTCATGCATAACAGAGCACAGAAACACAGAACAGCAGATGTTACATTATTAGGTGAAATACTACTCCCTCACCAGCACCACTAAACCTCTCTGAAATATATATACTTAATTATATATACAGGACCTGTCACCTGTTTTTTCAGCTAACAGTGTGGTACCATTGAGTAAAATATACTGTGCATCTGCCAAATACCGAAAAGAACCAAAATGTCATGTGTACACACTGAGAGAATTGCAGACACTCCTGCACATACAGTTGTTACTTGATAGGATCAGAATAGGCTGAATGCAGCTGTTTGCTAAAGGGACCAGTTTGTCTATTTCAGCTGTCGACAACTGACAGACTGACATTGCGCAGTCGCCTGTAGTGTGATACAGATCCTCTCCGAACAGGTGGAGTTTCAGATCCAGTTTAATGCACATTGGTTTCACTGTACAACTGGGGCAGGAACCTTCAAGAACTTGACTGTCTCTTGCTGTACTGAGTGGAGTTGCAGTGGTGTGTTTAGTTGTACAGGTTACATTTCTCCTCAAATAAGTGGAATGAACACACTGCAATGGTCTTGCCAGAGTGTGCAAGTGTTTATTTTAGCTTTAAGATATCAGGTAAAAAATAAACCATTTGCATGTTTGAATTCCCTCTGTTCTCGTTGTTTAGCTGTATGATTATGTGACCATACTTAGAAGCTTGTGTTAAAGAAATGGTCCCCAATCCCCTCGTTTCAGGTGTTTCACACTGCATATCTATCCCTGTCAGGCTGAATCCTGTCGACTCTAAAGCACATCGTGTGTAAATGAATTCCAGTGGATAATAGGCACGTTTTCCCTGAGATGTTATTTTTCACCTTCATTGATTCAATATGCAACAGCACAGGGATCTGTTAATTTAGGTTTTAAGTTATATCTTAAGCCTATTTTCAGCTTTCTTGTACACCCTTAGTCTGGGGATTTTTGCTGCTCCAACAGAATGTTTTTAAAAGGCTTTGGAATCCTCTTACGCTTACGGAACCTAATGGAATATAAAGGCAATTGTTCCTGTCCAATTCTAGAACTGGAACGAGAACTTCATAAGAAACCTAAGAAGACCTGCATCGTGAAGATGGTTGGCACCAGGAACCTGTGGAAGAACATTGTGGTTCTCTGTGTGAACTCGTAAGTATACTCCCGACACCTTTTCAATTCTGGCAGGTTACTATACTGTTTTCTTCATTGCTTTGTTATTCACTGTGTATGTGGTCACCATAGAAATGTGTTCTTTTTCAATTTTGAAATGCTTTGTGCAACATGAATTGCATTTTAAGAGCATTATTTCCTCCTCTTACTAGGAAATCTATTCAGCTGCTTGCTTGGTGGGAGTGGGGTGTATTTGTTGCTGATTGTTGCTGATACATTATTCAGTAAATTTACTGAGGAAGCAGTAAATCTATCCTGCAAGCACCTAAGGTCGATGTACTGTATCGGGTGACTCTCTTGGACACATTGGGATGTCCTCACACTGAGACAACATGCTAATCAATTTCAGCACATATTGCACACATTACACAAGACGAGCCTGTCATCAGTTTAGCGTTGATACAGAAGCTAGCGAATATAGGGGTTACAGCCGGGAAGACTAAACTGTCCTCTCTCGAAGCCTCTATTGCCTCTACTGGTACACAGTACTTCCAAATATTTTACATACCTGTATCATCATAATGGTCATCCTTTGGTCAGTCCCGTGCTGTATGAACTCTCCCCCAGAATTCTTCCACAAACATGTTTCTAATTTTCCCCATTCAGACATCATGATTTTATCTCGCCATCTTGCCTTTCAGTCACTTTTGGGGATCCACTAATTCACCCCCCTCCCCCCCTTGCCTCCCAGACTTGCAGGTTACGGGATTCACCACTGCTTCGCCAGGAGCATGATGGACCCCGAGGCCCGGGAGACAACCATGTTCCACAATTTCTATGCGGACTACTACACGATGGCGGGCATCGCCGTGGCCTCCTGCCTGGCCCTGTGCCCCACGGTGGGGTGCCTGGGGCGCAGGGGTGGCCTGCTGATGTTCATGATCCTCACGGCGCTGGCCTCCCTGCTGCAGCTCGGCCTCCTCAACCGTGAGTCGCCTCCTGCCCCCTCCTGACCCTTCCAGCCGACCTGCTCGGAAAACGGCGCCGCAGTGTTCGCGAAAATAATTAGTGCCGTCTAGACGATAAGAGCACGATTTGCTTGGAAGTGAAAGAAGAAAAACAGCGGTAGTCTGGGTGGGACCAGAATGCCATATGGCAAGAAAAAATTACCGTTTGAAGCATAGTCTATCATTTTGAGCCCAAACAATAACACAAAAATATCATGGTTAAAGAGACAGGCTAACGTACAGCGTTGTAGTATACAGTTTCAAGTTTCACTGGGGTTTATTCCCCCTCAAGTATTCTAGTGCCAGGTTTGACATTTGTACCTTCTTTTCCGCATTTGGTCATGAGGGAATGCATGGTAAAAATACACGCCCTTGTGTCAGCTTTTATCATGATTGTAGCATCTCATCTAGTCCGGGGCATGTTGGTATGTATTGTGTATTTAGCTAAAACCAGTGAATATTAAACCAGTCTGATGTCAAGCTTTTTAAAAAGCCGATTGTGTGATTGTGACAGCACTTCTTTATGTTGCTGATGAGTTCATCTTGCTTTTCTTTTCTTTTTTTTGGGGATGTGTCCAGTGATAGGGAAGTACAGCCTTCATCACGATACAGGTAAAGTACGAATAAACACCCATTTGTTTCTGGTCTTTGATCAGTGGTGTTAGATATGGAATTTGGGGTATACAACTTGTTTGTAAATAGCAGATGCAAAAGTATTAGAGAACGAAAAAGCTTAACATAAATATTTATTGTTTAGTTATTTTTTGTGAAACACTGCAATAAACAGCACAGTTATTTTATTATTAGTCTTAGAATGTATTTTTACAAAAGAAGCATCATCCAGACAATAACAATCATCCTCCTAACAATAATCTGGTTTGATGTAGAGGTTTTACCCAGTGGAGAGAACTGGGGTGCACATTTCACCTTTTCCTCTTATTAGTGTCAGTCATCACTTCACATGCTGAATTCTAGCTCACATTCTTTCTTTGAACACACTTGAGATGTTTCCTCTGTGTTAGTGGTGTTGCATAATGAACTGAAACCATATTTGCTATTGTTGTCTTGATTGTATAAAAATTGCAGGGTGGGACTTGTAGGTTTAAACCACTTCTTCATTTTGTAGCATGACTGGTCTCTTGACACAAGTCTAATATGGAATTCATTTAGGAGGATCTGTAGAATTGTGTTTTCACTTTCACATTATAGAGTGTTTTCCGTCTATCTGGGTAAAAATCCCAGTATAAAAGAGCCCAAGGGAGGTGATAGCCACTATACCCTTTGAATGATTATTGGAAATTAAATACTCCATGTCAGCTCAGGTATGGATTTGTTATTTTCTGTGAATTCACCGATCGATTGGTGGATAAAGCTGACCCCAATCAGTTCTTTGTACACAAATGTGGTACATTTTTGCTCTTCCCCGTTGAAATAACGCCCTTCTGAACGCCATCTACATTGGGAGCACACTATTGAAAGCAGTACCGATGCAGTGCTGGTTTTGTGTAGTGAATCCAGCTCTTCACAATCCCACTGTTTAGGGAGAGACTGGCCTGGTGAACTGCAGAGGCAGACTTTGTATGAAAACAGGGTCTGCGTCAGCTGTGAATCCTACAGAGGGTTCGATGATGCTCCAAATATTGTAATCACCTGAACAATCATTGCCTTTAATCCACGCGGACGTGATCGTTGGGCGTGAGTGTTTCGCGCTGTAGGATATGAGCAGCAACCCTGGTCCAGATGTGGGTGGAATTTTAAAGGACACTTTACAACTTGTCAGGGAGACCAAGACAGACAGGAGGTACGATTTTGTGATGCTGGAGTGTTCCTGTAGTTCTCATCGTGTGTAGATATGCCATTAACACAGAGGGATGCAAATGAGATAAAGAAGGAGGAAGATCAAGGAATCATACATACATATTTGTTTTGAATACCTGTACAATTTTAATTTTGGTAGATGTTGACTTTTCTCTGCATGGCAGAGGTGCAGCAGGACAGTATTTTCATATAATAATTATGCGATTGATAATCAGAAGCCCATTTTCATGGTTAATTTTGTGGCTCTGTAGGTGACAGTGATGCAGTATGATATCAGTAAATAAGTACCTTATATTTTGGTTTATGCTTTATTTTCACATTCTTGCTTAGGAGGAGTTTAAGTGTTTTTCTTTCTTTAAAAAATAATGGTTTATATTACTCTGAATACATTAGTTTGGTTTCAGGCCAAAGTGTATGAAATTAGTGCAATTTCACTGTTAGGTGTAATTTTATTCCCTTGCAAAGGCTTAGATATTTAAAAGCAAAACAACAAAAATGAGAAGATTTTATGTGTATCCACTTCCTCGTAAAACTAATGGCACTGAAACTCCCTGAACCTCCATGGAGTTGTTTCCTAGTACAGTAACTTGTTTTGTTGCATTCCTAGGTATAAACTCAGCGGAATGCACCAGAGGTGAACTTCTTCTGCAGACATTATTTTTCAGCACAGATAAATAGGAAAACGCCCCACTGTCTTTTGTGGTGATGCGGTTCTTTTTAGGGTAGTGTTAAAATGTGAGTCTTGAGCGCACGGTGATAGGTTTCCAAGAAAAGTGCTGTCTGAACGGCAAGGGTATGATTTGGAAAGAGCTTGGAGGTTAAGGGGGGACAAACAAACAGCTTGGGTTGGACCAGAACGGAAGATAGAAAACAAGAAAAAAAAATTGCAGCACAGTGTCGCATTTTCAGCCCAAAAAAAACAAAAATATCGAGTTTAAACAGAAACAGACGAGGCACCTGAGCAGAGTACAGGCTGAGCCCCCGGCAAAGCTGTGTGCGCGGTTAGTCGGTCAGGGATCTCCGAGCTCTCGGCGACACAGTGCCCCCTGGGGCTCGGAGGCCAGCGGTGCCTCCGATCGCGTTTGCGCTGATCCTCTTGTGCGGGACCTGTTTTGCTAGGGACAGGTTAAGAGACGGGACGGGCGGGTGGGCAATGTCTGCCTCCTCTTCCTCGCTCTTCCCTTCCCTGTGTGCGGGCGCGGGGTTCATAGCCGCCAGCAGAGACGTGAGAAACAATTGCAATTGGCTTTTCTGAATTGGGTGGGAGAAAAATCCCCCCCCAAAATACGATTGGCCCAAAAGTTTTAAAAAAAGAAGGGGGCAGCAGTACATTATATGAACAGAAGAAGACTTTGCTTGACTCCTAGACGTTCCTCAAGCAGAAAAAAATACTCTTTGACAAGAGCAAGTCAAGCACTTTTTTTTCTTTTCGTTTAAGTAGTGGTAAAATTAAAAAAAAAGAGAGAGATTCAGAAAGGAGGCAGGGCCCACTGCAGACACCAGCATCTCATTGCTAAGCAACATAAACACTCAAGGTCAGAGAGGCCTGCTTTTTTGTTTGCCCTTCATTTGTTTACCAGCTCTTAGTGCTGGCTGATCACAGAGGTGGAACACTTCAGGAAGCCCAGCTGACAAGAATCACTCCCGTGATTAATAGCAGAGGTGCCCAGAAGCAAGCATTGCCAAGCATTCCCTAACAGGCGAGATGGTGTGGCATGAATGTACGAGGTTACGGTTCCTCAGTGCAGCAAGGTCTCACCTCATGAGTCCACCCAGGCTGCTGTCATCCTTTAAATCCTTTAGCTGAGTCACTCTCTGTGTCACTCCAGCTCACTCGAGAAACTGTCAGGAAGCCGGTCCCCTCCACCTACACCTGAGCTGTAAACTGGCTGCTGAGAATGTGGTACAGTAGGTCGTTGCAGCCCTCTCCTCGCTCGGTACTGCGGTAATACGAGACGGGCATTGTTAGAATATGAGACGGGTAGTTCCCTACGCGTTTGCACTTGCTACCAGTTTGATAGGCGGCTGAATGCTCCTGTCTTTTGTTTAGTAATCAATCAGTTTGAACAAAGTGAAATGGACCGTAGGCACGAAAATATCAGTAAGCTCTTACTTTGAAGGATGTGTTTTTCAAAAGCGTGACGTGGATCGTTTGATTGGACAGGAAAATCCAGGTCTCTCTGGGCTCGTGTTGTAGGCGTGTGCGAAGATTTTCCGTTGTTGTGCTTAGAGTGTAAGGCCAACATTTCCCTGCATCAGAACTACAGAATGCAAATCTTGTAATTTCACAAGAAGGAGAGTTAGTCTTTTTTTCTCTTCTGTGTATATCTGACAACCTCTCGTAATTCTATTGATGAGTAAGGCTTACCTGGATTATGTACACAAGAACTAAAAGCTTACACGGCAGACAATTTAAAAATATATTGTGTAAAAATATCATGAATCATGTTGGTCACACCTGTTTGTGATAAACTACCAGGATTATTTTTGTGAAACTGCACCAAGGAAATGTAGCTTAGGTTGTTAGGTTGTTGTGACATACTGCACTTCAAAGTGTCCAAGATCTCATGTGACAGTGTTTTCTTTTTTTGGTTAACACAGCAAACTAAACACCCTCATGTACTCCTGAGACAAAGCTCAGTAAGATTTGAAAAGATTCTTGAGAAGAAAAAATACTGCAATTGCAGAACAACAGAACTCAGTCAACCTAGGAGCTGTAGAAAAGCATGCCATTTTCAAGCACCTAAAACATACTTTTCTTCAAAAATAGCAATGTGCTTTGTCTGGTGTCTTGGCTGTTGTTTGTTTAAATTCTGCACAATAATTGTAATTAACCTGTGGAATTGGTCCTTGCACATTGTTTCAAAACCAAATTGTGTTCTCTTTTTTCCACCCTATCCAGAGCTGAGAGAGACCCTGAACAAAAAATTCTCTATTGCTTTCTCCATCATCGGCATGTTTTCCTCTCATGCTGTCAGCAGCCTGAGCATTTTCTTCTGTGCTGAAATTACCCCGACAGTCATAAGGTAAGATTTGGGAAACCAAGCGTCAGTATTGCTCTTGCCACTGTCTTCCTGAAATTGAGCTGTGTTGTTTGTGTATAAATCAATGTTGTGAAGTCAGTGAGCTCTAGTCTATTAGTGAAGTGAAGGACGGCACCTCACACTACAAGCTCCGAAATGCTCAGTGCAGTTCCACGTTATCTGCTTACTGGATCGGCCAGATTGTAATGAAAACATCAAGGAATTCCAGCAGCAATATCCTTGGGTTTTTTTTTCTGCTGCTTCAGACTAAGGTTAATCTGCCTGGTGCAGCACTGCAGAGGCACTGCAGTAAGAGAAGATTTGAGATGCTGTATACCACTGTAGAGAGGCTCACTTAATGTGCCACAGTGGTTCTGCAGGCCGATGCTTTGGGAATCGATACCGCTTGCTCCGTGAAACTATTTAATAATGGATTTCCCTACCATTTCCGACAGTAATTACAGTCCAAAACGGATCCCTCCTTCTCCTCTCCACTCAATTCAGTGCTACCCTGTTGTGCTCCCGTTTTAAAATCCGGATTTTGCAGGATAGCAACCAGCTTAGTGTGCGCGTTCACATTCCAAAATGACAAGTAGCTCTGCTTGTTCAGTCCTCTCTCCAGACGTTGTTACTTTTCCCATCAGTTCCCAAATTCTATACTAGAGGAACCTTGTCTCAGCGTGCAGATCTTTCAGGCCGTTTATTTTTTTGTACAGGGTTGGAATTGAAAATGCATCCTTTGTGTGCTTACATTGGCAGCACTGCAATTGATTGCAGTTTCCGTAATCCAGTAAATTAAGTCATTCACAGATGCCTACCCTGTCTTACAGAGGAACACCCATCTGTCCATTTCCACTTACTTATTCAGTCCTTGGAAATCTGCAGTGAGCTAGTGTGTAAGCAGACAGGCACAGGGAACAAGACAGCTACAGAGCACCAGGGACATGACATCAGTCCAGCACGGGACACTCATTTGTTTATTCACACATCTTTAGGTGTCAAATACCAGCCAAATAGAGATGTCAGGTTTCATCTCTTTGGACTGAGGGGACAAAGCAGGAACACCCAAGTTTAAGGTTACAAGTCGAATGAAGCTTTGTTGTAAAAAAGTTTAGTTAAACCTTAAGCCAAAAGACAAAAGGTTCATTTTAAAGGTCAAGTTAGCACAGGTACAGGAGACTATGAGTGTCATTCTTTTTATGCTTTTTAAGGCAAATGTAAAGCTCACAAGATGCATAAAAAAAAAATTTAATCAGACAGGCCTCATCTTTGATTCCGTCAGAAACACTTGTGTAAGACGAAGAGCAGTTTTGCTATGCAAAAGTAGAGAGCAGTGTGAGGGCTGGCATGGGGAGTGAGGGGTTCACTCCGCACGGGAATAGAAACAAACTTTTTACTGCCTTTATCATGAAATTAACCCCTGCTTATCCCCCGTACAACACAAAGTACAAAATGTCATATGCTGTTACAACCTGTGCAAATCGATAGTGAAGTGAAGGTAAAAATGCACTTGAGCAGCAGACCATTCATACAACCAAAATGAAATTAGATTATTCAAATGGATCCCTCTTATTGGTAGGTCATCCTGTGTTGCTATATTTAAAATAGTCTGTTTGTTTGAAGTGTAACTAAAATTAAAGAAAATATATGTTTGCTAACAACCTATAATGGACTGTTCATTGAAAGTAATGAAGAAGGCTTAACCTTTTCCTTTTCATACGAACAAAATGTCAGTGAAAATATTCATAGTTGTATCTGTTTTGGGCGCAAACGTGTCAGTCAGTACTGTAGACACACAAGCAGATAAATTCGGAAAATTTCACAGTTTAAAAGTAAACAAAAAAAATACGTTTGTAACAACTTTACAAAGAGCGAATAAGAGTCAGAAACATTGTAGTTTTAGCATTGCCAGTCCGGTGTGATTGTCCCTTTTCTTCATTAGGCAAGCTAATATTGAGTCTGATGGTTTAATCGCACTTTTACAGAGTGCAGAAACAACGCATTAAGATGATCAGAACAGCCAATAAGCCGAATAAGCTGAAGCACCTGTAGTGTATTGGCTCCACCTAGTGGAGCATTATTCTTGAACGTGAGAAAGCAGAGACTTTATTGTACTCCTACGCACTTTTATCACCACCTTAATTAATTTAAACAACAACTTAATCCTCAAAGATGAATGAATATGACGGAGGAAATGAGGATGTGTGTCTGTTACAGTTTTTAAGGGTCCGCACTGGGGTAGAGGTCACTCGAGTCTGCCCCTGGGGACGTCCAGCAGCCATCCTTCAAAATCTACATCCGTTAAGATTGTTTAATAAGATGGAAAATAATTGAATATTTACTGTAGCAGACTGCCAATCGTACCACAAAATTAAAATGTGGCAGGTGAAAAAAAAAGGCAAGAAAATGTTTTGCTGAAAGACTAGTAAATTCTTTTTTATCTCCAGTTAAGTTTCACCTGTAGCGTGTTACAGTGGAAAGGTCTGTACTTGCTCTCCTGAGATAAAATGGCTTTAGCGCCCCCCTCCGAAGGTGACGGCGCTGCGGTACGCGCTGTTTGACTTGAGGAGGGCGATCGGTCCTGTGAGCCTGCGCCGTGTTTGGAGGCGGGAGTCCTGACCCTTCTCTCTTCCCAGGGGCGGGAGCCTGGGCCTGGTGCTCGCCAGTGCTGGGTTTGGCATGCTGACCGCCCCCATAATGGAGCTGCACAACCAGAAGGGCTACTTCCTGCACCACGTCATCTTCGCCTGCTGCACCCTCATCTGCATCATCTGCATCCTGCTGCTGCCGGAGAGCCGGGACCAGAGCCTCCCCGAGACCCTCGCGGACGGCGAGAACTACACCCGGAAGCCTCTCCTGCCCCCGAAGAAGGGGGGGGAGCAGCACCTTCTCCTGACCAAAGCCGAGATGAGGGATTATTCCCGGGTACAGGAAACGCCCGCCCGCCAGGCCCCCCCGGCCTCGGCGGCAGCGGCCCCCGAAAACACCACGGCCAACGGCGTGGCGTCGTCGTGATGGCTTCCCATCATCCCTGGAGGTCCGCAGAGTCCGCGGCGGGCGGGACCTCGTGATGCCAGACGTGAGGAGGTGACTTTGGGTCGCCAACCTGAGCTGCTGTGTGAGGGGGTGTCTGTTTCAAGGCGGGGGTCTTCAGCAAAGCACTCTGGGAATGCTCTGACCTGAAGGACTGGAAGATCAGTGGCAGACAGATCTTGAAGGATGTTAAGGACACTTAGTTTTTTTTATGGTGTAAAATTGCCATTTGCCTGTACTGAATGTCACTGCTTATTGTATTATCTGTGCTGAATATTGAATGTTGTTTTGGAAAATCTGTCATTCGGTTTAACGCCTATTGTAGATGGATGCTGGGAGATCTGCAGTTCATCACGTGCGTTCATATTAACGAAACCATAAGTGAATCACGACCTCCAGGTATTTAGTTAAAGAAGGCGGCAGTAAATTTCTATCACTGAGGTAAATAAGTATTTGCCTGGCTCACAGGTATTTTATCTTTTACCCCAAAGTCATTGGATAATTACTGAAGCAGCCTGGTTATACGGCAATGTTCTATGAAATCATTTTAACAGATGGTGCTCAATTCAAGAGTGCAGACAGAGAATTATTACTTTTTACGAGGACCTTTGTTTTTCATGAAAATGTGAATCCCAAAAGCCAAGAGCAAAGAGGAAGACTTCTAGAACTTACCTGGATATACCTCTTTATCCATAATGCTATTTTTAAACTCAATAATCAAGATGAACTGCCATACAGTAGCTGCTACAAATAATGGACCTTTAAGAATTCCAGAAGGGAAAGTCAGAAATGTCTGATTTGTTGCAAATCAAGATCTGGTATTAAGATGGCAGCGGCACCAGATAAAATCCTACTTAAAAGAAAACAGAGACTTAAAACTGTCTTCTCTGGATTCCCAAGACTACTTAAATAAACTGTATTTTTCAGAATGCTCCTTGAACATCCGAAGTCTACGGTTTCAAAATACTGCTGCAGATACAGTGCTCATGTTGTTGCTCCAACCAATGGGAACAAAACCATCTCTTTTATTTCTCCTGCAGGCCTGGCTCTGTCAGAGGAAAGCCTCCCAAAATGCAGTACTGCCACAGTATATCACGATGGGTTGTTTTCCTCGTATTTTTCATGTGGGCGTAGAGTTCAATGGCCTCGTGTTTATCAGATGAGACATGGATCAGTGGAGCTCAGTGTTTACAGTCGTTGCCAGTTTTATTCAGTTATATGTGACAACACTTTTAAGTTAACCCTAAAGATTACCCCAGTTTTGCACTAAAGTCAATGACACAATCAGTTGTTAATTTAAGCTAATTCTAGTAAGTGTAGTATTGTTGATATCTGTTAATTAAATGTATAGTGGTGTGTAACTATGAACTTAATCGCAGAAATTCTTTGTGTTACCTTTTAACACTTGATTTAGATGACCCTAGAATATCAATTCTTTTGAAGTCTGTTACCATAGATGTTTAAATTAAAGTGGCACTTTATTATGAATGAAAGGAACAAGGCATTCAACCAAGTCAGGGGTTTTATGTTTTTTTTTCCAATGTTTTGAGTCAAGCAGTTGTTTGTAAAATACAACTTTACAATTACACAGAAAATTGTGTCCCTTCCAGCAGATGCTGTCTTTAGATTGTGATCATTTCCCTGCTCCCTGGCTGCCTACTGATTTCACAGCCCAATGTATTGTGCTCTTGGATATTTTAATATAATGTTACTTCTTCACTTGGGTCGTTCATTTTTTAAAAATGCTGTTTACAAGAATGTAAAATAATGTATTGTACAGACATGACCTTTTTTACTGTTCTTTTTTTCTCCCATGTTGGTAAATTCTAATAAGTTCTGGCCATCTGGAGTCGTGTGTTACCTTGTACGTTTCCGTTACCTGTGGACTCAGAGTGAGAAGAATGTTGGATCCTTTCATTGTAGGTACAGGGTTAATATACTTTCAATATTGCTGTAGGCTGCCCAGTATTCTGTGTAACACCCCAGGAAACCCTCACTAGACAGCCTTTCTAAAACTATAGAGAACGATGGGTCTACAGGTATTTGATATTATAAAGCACAATGTTTCTTGTGACTATCTTTGTTTTTAATTTAAGATAGTCCATATGTAATGAAATCCTTCATGGCCACTGTATTAGGCCTGATAAAAGACATAACTCTGGTGTTTCGTTACTTGATTGACCACCGACGCTCTCCTCCTGTCTCTGTAGACTTGAATCACAAGGAAACAGCAATAGTAAACTGGGAGGAGTGTAAAGACCCCCTTGACCTCTTCAGAGAGTTCTCAAAACTTACTCGAAAGTATGAGACTTGAAACTTGAAATTTAGCCTGTTTTCTGATTCCACTGGAAACCAAGTACTCTGCAATCTCTGAAAACAGGGTGAAGGATTTCCACGAATGAATGTAAACCACTATTGAGAATTTTTAATACAGTGCACTTGTATATAAGCCATAAATATTATTAAACCAAGTTATTTATTCATTGCTAAAGTAAACTGTAACCTGTAGTTATTTTAACAAAGCAGCAGACGTCTTTATAGTCAGGTGAATGAGATGACAAGGAAGTTGGAGCCAATTATCTTCCAGACAGCTGCCAAATTCCATAGTGGGTACAGGTTGGTTTTTGAAGGGTTCAAACATTTACCCTTGCACTCACTAATCGCATTTCTCCATGCTTATGCAAACTAGTCCCGTATTAGAACATTTTCACTGCCTGACGGCTGTCACCACATTGATAAGTGTTCATTGTGGGTTTTGCTTCAGCGGCGGCTGCTCAATTTTTTTGTGATTTATTTGTCTGGAAGACATTACTTTTGAATTTTAACTCATCCGACACATAAGCCTGCTTCAGAGAGACAGAACCCGGTTTTCGAGAAGAAACGGCCTTGAGAATCTAGACACAGAAATAGACCGTAAAGGAGGGAAGGGGCTGACAGATGACATGGAGACGCTCTCGTTTTCGATAAATGCCTGAATTTCATTTCAGTAAATGCCTCTGCCAGACTTCCTCCAGTTCACCGTGGCGGGACAGCAAAGACTGGCAACACACTCACACCTGGGCCAACTTGTCCAAAAACCAATTAGCCTACCAGCATGTCTTTCGATCGTGGGAGGAAAGCAGAGCATCCAGAGGAAAAAAATACGGGGGAAACATACAAACTCCACTCAGATAGCACCCCAGGGCCCCACAGGTACGAGGCAGGAAGGGTGACCACTGTGCTGTCTTCCAAGACCTGACTTTATTCTTACCGTTGCCAATATTGCTCTAGTAGAGGCAGAGGCCTGACGGATTTACAGAAAGACGTGAAGGCAAGCCCTCAAGGTGCGAGGTGGCAAATGGATCCTTATAGTCTCGCGGTAGAATTTGACGAACACAAGAACACGAGCAGCTTTGACACACGAAGCACAAGGTTTTGCGTGTTTCCTGGGCCAGTGCAGCACTGCACCCCCGCGCCTCGTTAACAATGGGAGCGCTCGCCAACGGCTCCAGTCGTCCCCCAGCCTGCAGGAAGCCCGCTGGCTGTGATTAGCGCTCGGCGCATTTGTCACTTTCTGAAATTAAAAGGCTTCTTTAAAGAGGCTCTTCAGGATGAAACAGCGGCTGTCGGGTGGTGACATTTGCATCTTGTTCCGTTGTTCCTAATGGATAGAGAGGGTGAGAGATGGTTTACTGGGGTTGCTGCGAAGGAAGGCAGAAACGGAGTGGTGGTGAGGTTAGTGACCGCGTGAGCCTGGTGCATCAGAGATGACAACACTTAGTTATGGGCCTGTAGCTGCCTGAGCTCAGATCTTTTTTTTTTTAACCCACCCATCAATCACAAATCACTACCTGCGGCACGGGATGCTGTTTTCAAGGGAATTTTCCCTGACTGCTGCATTTACTATTTAATCTGAGCCTTTTGTAACACCGCTGAAAGCTTAGGAGTGACGCCGGACCCACAACGTTGCCCCCGTGTCCAAAATAAAACCATGGCAATTGCATCTGTGTGGAGACATAACAAGGGTCATCAAATGTGGTAACATCCTGGTTTGCAATTAAGAGTTTTTAAAGCCACAGCAGTCTAAAAAAAAATCAACAGGCTTCCTTCCAAATGAAAACCAAGAGGTATTGCGAATTGGATTAATACCAAAGACAAATGTACTTTCCAAAAAAAAAATGTATTGCCATGTGTTGAATGAAAAGATGTTCTGCCCAGTTTTCCTGTGGTACAGACTGATGACAAACTGCCTGTGAAATTCCTTGCCTATGGAGTGGGCCGTCCGCCTGCACTGAGCATAATTGTCCTTATTCCTGTCGACGTTTCTCTGCGTCTTTCTCATATCTTATGGGTTCGACCTTTTTAAAAGTTTAGAAGATTAAGATTTTTTTTAGTATTTATTCCGGGCCTTATAAATACTGCAGGTGTTGCCATTTCAGGGAATGCATCGGTCATTACAGACCGCTGATCAGCAAGTGCTGTAATCCGGATGGATCGTACTTTCAGTCACTGCTCTACTGAATCACAGCAGCCGTTCAGTGTTTTCCATTTGCTTCCCGAACACTTCTGGGAACACGGAAGAGAAAAAGTGACCTTTCTGCCACTGTGTCTGGTGGGATTGATGATGGGATGGGCCAGGAGTAGTTCACCTTGATGCCCACATTTCATGTTGTCACAGGATTCTGTTCTGACCTTTCAATAGACTCAGGACTAAATTAATGCTTAACTGCTTTATTAAGCCAAGTGCTGCAGATCACTTAGGTAATTAGGGATTAACTGCAGCAAAGACTTGCAGTGGCATGAACTCCATGTGCCCTCTAGTCCTTTACAAAACGAAATTGTATTTCAAACGTGAAAGACATCACACACACTGTATTGGCAAACTGTACTGTGCATTCAGCACCTTAAGGCTACTCCCAAGACATTCCCCATCGCTAAACACACAGAACACTTTTTATTTCTTTTTTTTTTTTGTGCTTGATTTTGTGTCTGAGAAACCCCCTTTTTTGTAGTCTTCACAAGATGCATGTGAAGGGCAGTATCCTCAAGGTCAATTTTGTCAAAGTTGTCCCCCTAAAGGCTTTGTATTAAAATTCTGCAAACCTCACAGAGTGTATTCTAGGAGACTGAGATCTGAAACACTGGGTCTTTATTATTTTAAAACTGCTTTGCCTCAACCGTGCTGGCATGGCACAGATAAAAAGACTTTGGTATAACAAAAGTGTCAACGTTTTTTTTATTGTTATTAATATTGTATAAACAGCAGAAAAGGCTGAGCCTTATTTTTTATTAACCGGAAAGTGTGTTCTTTGGATAACGGCTCTTTGATGTACTTGTAGACTGAGCCAGGAATACAGTACTGGAAACACATTCGGTGTCTGCATGACATGACCTTGTGTATCACAACTGTTTGTAAACCTGTGAAAATAGTAGTAATAAAGATAAAAAAGTTGAACATCAACATGTTTTGAAGAACTTCTCAAATTGTGGTGGTGTGAGATATGGGATTGGTGTTTATCAATGTTAAAACAAATGATTTGCAAGTATACTAACTCTATTGATGTTAAGATATTTATTGAAAAATGCTTGACGTACAGTACATGCAGTATAGCACCCTAATAGAACAGCACCCTTTGTGAGTCATATAGACTTTGTGCATGAGAGGGAAAGGGAAAGTCATAGCTAAATTTCCTAATCTCGTTTTAAATCTCATTTTTGTGACAGAAACTAAGAAATAAGGCACTAGTAAATAGTCATTGAAAACTCTTATAGGTTTACTGCTTTAAATGTTGGAATTAATACTCAGGAGAAAGAACTGCTCATAGTAAACATGTATAGAATAATTTAAAGGGGGGATTTTTTTTATTTTTCTTTACATTTTCTTACAAAACATGAAAAATACCAAGGAAAAAAGATACAGAGCTTTCCTTTATCTGAAAAGCGAACTCTGAAAAGTCTAGAACTTATCGGGAAAAAGTTCCATTTCTTTCTTTACTCGGTTTTCCACGAGCAATGTGAGGTTGGCCTCAGTGGAGGGAAGATTGTAGCTGACAAAGACCTGCTTTTTTGTCTTCTTGGCTAGAACATAAAAAGAAAAAGTGTACGATATGAGCACAGAAAGTAGCATATATGCTTTTGAATTTGTATTAATGGAAAAGGCAGATGCTAAAGAATGAATCACAATTACATCTAAATGAAAACATTTTCAATTATTTGGCTTTACAATATTGGACAAATCGCTTTGAAAATCACTGTCATCCCCTAATCTCAGTAGTGCACCGTAAAAGTTAATGAATCAGTGTTGTTTCTGTGCAAATAAAGAAAACCTTCTAAAAACAAGGAAGAAAATCCTACTTAATCTTTGTGCCAGGGAACTTGGAGAGGTGTCAGAAGAATCTCCAAAAACTAAGGTTGCCAAAGGTACAGAGTCCTGGAGGTGGGAAAACATAAAACATAAAACACACAGTAAACAAAGTATTTCCATAAGAAATTCTGAACGCATGACTCCAGGATCCTGTTGATATAAATAAAGCTAGTTAAAATGTACCTCATCTAAGAATATTTTGTATGATTAATTGACCAAATTAGAGAGCTTGTACTTCAGCAAACAGATCCTACTGCCAACTGGACACGTCGATACATTTTCTTTTCATGTACGAATTCATACATTCACTTTTGCTAACAAACTCTGATATTAAGCATTAAGAGAGCACCTCAATATTCACTGTCACGGATATGTTTTAGAACCCCCTATCTTTAGTGTTATTCTTATGTATTACATGACATAACTATTAAACACATAAAAAGACTACAAACAAGAAGGGGCCATTCTGCCTGCCAGTAGGTTTTAGAAAAATCCTAGAATTCCATCAAGCCAGTTTTAAATACGAGTCTGGGGGAGCTACAGTAGATCTCCTGAGGAAACAAGTGTCTTCACCTGTCTGTCCCGTATTCCAAACTACCACCCGTATCCCTGTCTCCTTGAATCATTGCTTACTTGGAAAAAGCCCACTGATTCAATTTGGTCAATGCTGTTCAGGGTTTTGAGTACCTGGATCGAATGAACACATCATCTCCTCTCGGATAAACCTTGCGGGGGCTCAGGGAGATGAGGGAGAAATTCACAGGACGCCCGGGATAACACAGAGACAAGGACCACAACCAGATTCAGCACTTACACACGAAACATTTAGCATAAAAAGATCAGCAACAGAGCACGCTGTAGTTAAAGAGCTGCAGCTTGGACTTCCAACGGGCAGAGCGGTGGCTCTGTGGCTCAGGATCTGCGCCTGTGGCTGGAAGCTTGCCATTTCGTGCAGTACCATTTCTCACTGCTAGGGGGCACATTATTACACTCCACACACTTGACAATGCTGTTTCATCGTCCTGAACTACCAGGAATTGTGATTACGACTTCTATGTAATAAACCTATATACAACACAGTGGGTGGGAGAAACTATTTCCTCAGATGCACACATTTTACAAAATCAGCGATTCTGCGAATAAGGTTTTTTTGAAGATGCAGGGCGTCTATACTTGCGTCTGCAACTACAGCTCTCACATTCAGAAACTTTCATTGTACTTGCAGGACTCAATGCGATATCGCTGCTCCGTGATGGATTATTTTAATGCCGATTCGGACAACCCCTTAATTCCACATGCAATTGTGTCAATATTTCCAGATTCCAGTTAAAGTAACGATTTTATAAGAAGACCGGAGAACGCAATTCTGCTATTTTAGTCTTCATACGCGCCAATGCTATTACTAGTAGCAGCAGCGAGTAGAAGTATTAAGAGAAAAAAAAACTCACATATTTGCTACACATGGCCACAGCTAGGTTAGAAAGAACCGAGCTCGCCCCGATCCAAAGGAAGAATCCGTCCTTCATTTTCATAACATGGAAGTGAACAACCTGCTCCAGAATCTTCTCGGAAAAATTATGGACCGAGATGGTTCCTTCGTTTGCGCTGGAACTTGCACTTTCCATCCTCCCCGTGCTGCTTGATGCGGATCAGACCCTGAACAGCTCCTGTCATGCCGTCACCTTTGTGCAAGTCACTTCCTGCTTGCGCTCCGGCCGAATAGGCTCGACTAGTCGATCTCGGCACGGATCCGACTTGTTGCACGCTGAACTGCGGCGTGGTGTGCGTGCCAATAAGCCTATCATTATTATAAGAACATCTGCGTTTTAGGAGCGCGCAGTAATTAATATACATATTTAATTGAGCAGGAAACTAATAACTAATATATCTATTTTTAATTTCTCTTCACATTGTGAATTGCAAGGAAGCACACAGCTGAAGAACACTCCGCAGCCGAAAGGTTGTGCCACTCCTTTCTTTTCCTTTCAGCTTAGGATATACTGTACCCTTACCTGTTCACAAGTAAATAAGCTTCGAGGGGACATCACGGGTGACTCTTTGAAACTACTGGCCTCTTACGGCTGGATGTCTAAATCACAAAATTTTCAAACACTGCATTACTCGACCCTTGTTAACCTGTGCAGGGAATGAGTTTACTCATTTATTTTTTTAAAAAAAAAGAAGCAATACATGTTCGGTAGTCAGTGTGTGAGGTCGCAAACACGCTAAATTCATTTTGTGTCAATTATATTAATAACTCAAGACAATATTTCCTAGTATGAAACGTTACAATTTCAGATAGAACAGTTTTAATAAACAGTAGCTATACGCATGGAATGACAAATAACAGTTTACACTATCTTTCTTTTTTAATTCGGTATGTTTATAGAGAAAATAAAATGATCTTCCGGGGGTCCATCAATCAGTGCATCTGCTATACAGACCGACGACAAGTCGGCCGGCAGAGCTGAGAAATGCGGGGTTTGTTCAGTCCTGGTTCTGCAGGCCGGTGACTCTGCAGGATTTCGGGGTGTCTGTACGCAGCGAACCTGCAGTCAGATTGGACCTCAGGCCGGGGACGTGACTGGGCAGCGCTCTCTTCAGAGCAACACCCGCAGGCAGAGACGTGGGACCGTCCCGCCGGCTGAGGAGCAGAACCCCGTCATGTCGCCCGTCTCGCAATGCAATGTGAGCGGAATAATTATGGCCTGCCAGCGGCACCGACCGCTTCGCTTCCTCGGCAAGCGCAGTCGCGGATTTTAGGCGTGTCGCAGCCCAGAATGCCGGTTTGCCCCCCGATTCGTGATTCAAGGTGCATTTGATAAGGCGGTGCGAGTCGGTCGGTGCACACTTCAAACTGAATGAGATTCGAGACCCGGCGAAACGACAGCCCTCCGGTTTCCACCTCACCGTGCACTGTGATGAGAGCCGGGTAAGACACTGTCCGCACACATACTGTAGACGCCGCTCCCAGACACCACTGTAGCGACACCAGTCTTGTAAGATTGTTTCTTTAAAAAAAAAAAACAACTTCCAATCCCATCCATATAAGGCTTTCAGTGCATCTTCTGGAATTCCAGTTACAGTAGAAACAGCCAACAAATCGGTACCGAATAAGTAACCTGGTTTATTTGGACTATGCTTTTTTTTTCTTCCTCTTGAACTTAAGAAAAAAAGTTAAGAGGGGGAGACAGAAATTTTAAAAAAAAACTAACACGTTGCGGAATCCTCTCAGCGTTTCAAGTGCGCGTCCCCCGATAGGAGGGCCGCGCTGCCGAGAACCCAGGCTGCTATGACGTCACCCAATCAGCTGTGGAAAGTGCGTCTCGGCGGCGCGCACCGCCCGACCTGCAGGTTTATAAGACCCCGGTACCCGCAGCGGGGAGAGAGGAGCAGTTCTCGCTAGCCTGAAGACGAGGATCCCGACGGAGCCGCAAGGATGCGTGAGATTGTGCATATCCAGGCTGGGCAGTGCGGAAACCAGATCGGGGCCAAGGTGAGGGGGTTAAACGCGCTTGTCCCCTGTGCTTCTGTCCTCATCTCACGAGTTTTCCCACATAATCCGGCCGACCGCCCCATTTCGCGGACGGTTGTTGGAAATAATGACAGGAAGGAAAAAAAAAGAAAGAAAACGGAGAGAGCACGTCATCTCCAGATCAACTTAAAACGGTGCAGGTTTATGTCTGTAGACTTCTTTGATGCAGAAGAGTGTTATGTTTTAGGGATGACACACACAGTCATTTTCTATCATGAATCGTTTTACTTTTTCCACATACTCAGATGACTTAGTCAAGTGATTTTAGATATAACGCATTCCCGTTTTACAATATAAATCCCACATATGATATGTGATATACTATGCTAAATTCTGGTGTTTCATTAGCGTGATCTGTCCATTTCGCCACATTAATGTGTGAATGAGCTCTTCATGCCTACTCAGTACACAAAGGACTGTGCCTCTCTCTGCGAGAAATGGGTGCGGTCTTCTTTGATTCGTGTCACTGGGAGAGATGAATGTGGGGTAATATTCCTTGCGTTTCATTGTATAGAGCTTTTTTAAGACGTCCACAGACATCTTCTTTTTTTAAATGGTCCATTTTTAGACGCCCTGTCATTTCTTACCCGTTTCATTAAAAAATATCAAAGTTAATAGCACGTTGGTCTAAAGCGATGCGGGCACCTTACGTCTCGCATACAGTTAAGAGAAAATAGAAGTTTCGTGTGATTTTGTATTTCAGTTTTGGGAGGTGATAAGCGATGAACACGGCATCGACCCTACCGGCAGCTACCACGGGGATAGCGATCTGCAGTTGGAAAGAATCAACGTCTACTACAATGAAGCCAGCGGTAAAACGCCAAAACGTCTCTCGACTAAACGGGATGGGTTGCACGGGGTATTCGTGTGCTTAAGACATCATTTTGCGCTTTATCCAGGCATTTATTGAAAGCGAGGCGTGAGAAACGTACGCCGAATGCAACCGATAAGCTTCACTTTCCTAAAATTAAGATTATTCAGATGCTTCAAGGTAACAGACTCGTTCCCTTGCTAAGTATGACGATTGGTGTATTGTAATTATATTTTTCCTCAAAGCACGATCCGTAGTAATGGCTATTGATTTCTATAGCAGATAATTAACCACGCTGTCTCCATTGGAGCGAAAGCGCTATTTTTCAGCACCTTAAGTGCCGAGACAGCGCACGAAGTGAAAAATTGCCCTGGGTATAGGGAGACATTAACGTGTTTTAGGTTATGAACTGGCTTCT